CTGTTTAAAACTGAAGACAACAGACTACATTACTTTGTAAAGTGCAGATTTGATCGTCTTTGGCAGGTTAACAGAGCAGAGTAATCCAATGCTATGCCCCGAAGAAGCATTGGTAAATGAAAGAGGAAACGGTGCTTACGGGCAAATAAGGAAGTTGAAGTGCAGCTAACAGAAAAACTGACAGGGCTGATGAAACTGTCGTGTCACCCCCTGTCTCAATGATACCAAACCACAACTCACACCCACTGTGCAAAACAGGCATGGCCTACATTATACTAATGTGCTTTCTTCCAAAAGATTTGATGAGGAAAAGCACAGCATAGGTGAAAATGGGGACTTGGGCCTGATGACAGTATTTTTATATCAAGCACAACAACATGAGCTGGTTATTTACAGGTTTTTAACCACACTTGCTTGGCTCTTGGGATGCAAATGTTGGCAGGTCTCTCCAACATTCTGACTTCTTTGGTAGTGCCACCATGAGGTTGACATTTTTGCTTTTGAGTAAAATATCTCAACAACCATTGGATATATTGCTGTGACATGTGGTACAGGTATCAAAGTCCCTCCCCTGGATGAACTGTAGTACTTTGGTGATCTCTGCCTTTACTTTGTGTTCACTGATAAATAGTAATTGTTAGCATGCTAACACACTAACAAAGATGGTGTACCTAAACATTAGCATTTATTTTGAGCATGTTAGCATGCTGTTAGCATTTAGCTCAAGGCACTGCTATGCATAAATACAGCCTTACAGAGCAGATAATGTGCCAGTAGATTCTTGTTATTGAAATTCTAAGTTTTAGATCAAAGTTTTTCTTATTCATGTACATTATTCATGTTTTGTTTAAGTTTTTCTGCAGCTCTCAGGTTAGCATATGGCACTAAAGCAAGTGCCCAGTGGTGAGTTTACGCTTGGAAATGTAATTTTAGAGCCATTTAGGGTCATACCGTATGAAATGTATATTGTTAACACTGTGTACAATAATTCTTCATTGCTGATATTGAAGTTTTTGCACATTCCTTATTAATTGTTCTGTATATTTTTTGCATTTTGTGTATTAGTATTACTGTATTATTTTTTATACTTGTACAATTTTTGATCTCTTTACTTTTTAGATATTTTTATTTCTATGTTTATGTTTATGTGCACTGTTAAGCACCAGTATATACCAAGGCAAATTCGTTGTATGTGTATGTACCAATAAACCTAACTGTGTCTAAACCTGGCAATAAACCTAATTGTGTGGCTTACTTACACATTATTCTGTTCTTAAAATTAAAAGCGGCTTTCTCTAACATGAAAGCAGTCATGCAAAGCTGGAGCATGGCAGTATAAATTTGTTTGTGTAGCGAAGCGTCCTCTGTGGTGACCATGGTTCTGCTGATGGAAAGTTTTTTGATCCCCTGCTTACAGATTCTGCTTCAGTGGTTTTGTTGCCTCTGTTGACTGACTTAGTGGGCTCTCTTTGAGTGTGTGTGGGAGTTTGGGTCACATAGGTTTAAGAAAAAATGTCACAGCAGTAACCACTGTCAGGAAAAGTGTGGCCCATGTCATTTTCAGAAAACAGAGGTTTCTTTCTTCTCTGTAAAGCAAACTATACCAGTCAACTTGATACTATTACTTGCATGGTGACACTATAATGTTACTACCTATTTGGAGGATTATGCAGATACACTACATGGTGTTGTAACTCACCCGTCTGTATGTCAAATGCATTCTAACAGGATATTTTGGTACATGGATACAATTTAAGATAACGTGGCCGGCTGAATTTGTCTTTGGGCCAGTAGTTTTGAGACCTGCTGGGCATCGACTTAGTCACTGACTAACTGTCTTCGTCATTCAGCTGGTGGAGAAAGGGACTCTTGACTCTTGTCAAATCTTTATTATTGATATCCATTACAACAAGTTGACCCTGTACTTTTCAATGAGCCAGGGGTGTCACGATTGCTACAGACATCTGTATGAGATGACAGGCTGATTGTGTTTGGTTTTTCAGCTCTGGCCTTATTGGAGAGCGAGATCTGGACTTTTCTGACATGGGCAAGCCACTTCTTAACTCTCAAACATTGAGTGGAAATGATCAGTCATAATTACACTGTGATGGGAGGCTTTTTACAGTTCTACAAGTATCCAATAAGACATGGACCTAGGAGAGAGGAGAGACACATAGGGGCAACTGTGTCTCAGGAGACAGAGTGGGTCATCCAATAATCAGAAGGTCCTTCAGTCTAAACGTCTGAGTGTCCTTAGCAAGATTCCGAACCCCATCGAAGTGTGTGTTTTGAAAGTTAGTTCCTTTGTCACCTTGCATGACAGCCGCTGTCACATAACACATATCATGTACTGGCTCTGTGTTACTGAAATACCTCACACATTAAAGTGACATGGCACTTAATCTGAATACTTAGTGTGACATCCTGTTATGCATAGTGTATCAATTTTTCACACCCACGACCCAACCCAGAACTGAAGGCACAGATGATGATGCTTTCTGTTTTTACCATTTTAACAGGCATTTAAAGCTGAATTCTGATTCTGATAATTGGATGCTGAGCTAGTTTTCAAATGATGAACTCCATGTTTCCTGTTTTCATGAACACTCAGACACCCAATGCATGATGGGCATTACTGACAGATTTTTTGTGTGTGTGTGGTACAGAACAAATAATTTAACAGCCGCATTAGTTACATTCCATGAAATCAATTGAAAGCAGTGTTCCGCTGCAGTGTTGCACATTGTATGTGGATCACTAGTCTAATGGTACCTTTTACCTTTTGGTATTGTGTGATCAGCTGTCATGTAGGTCATTTGTCTGAGGAAGAAAGACCTGGTAGGGTTTAAACCTTGCCTTTGTGAGCCCAATATTTTGAGTCAAATAAAATTTTGGAAGAGAAGCTAATTGGATAATTTTTTTCAGTCACTGAATTTGATATCGTTCATATGGACTCAATGTCGGATGGGATGTACACACAATTATATGTAGTATAAATGTGTTACTTGCAAACAGGGGTCTAGTCAGAGGAGCTAGCAAAATTGGGTCCATATACTGCAGAATCCAAGCATCGATGTTAATGAAACTGAAAACATATAACTATGTTGTATCTACACAACAGTCCAACTCAAAAAATTTAATTTTGGGTATTTAGTATGTGACAAGAGTAAATAGTCTTTTCAGTTTTGCATGTAGGTATCAGGCTACCCTTAAATATCATTACAGAACACCAATAATTTATGGGGGTTTACATCAGACAAAAGTGACAATATAATGACATTTTCATACATACATTACTATGCTTTATATTCACTATATTAAGATTTTTTTAGTCATTCATATTAGGATTTTATTATAGGGTTAGTGAAATGTTACAGGATATGTTTCTGGCATTGGGTTACACTGTATGTATACCGGTATTTTAACAAACTATAAACTAGACTGTCCGACAGAGGGCGATAAACCCCGGCTTGACACTGATGATAAAAGGCTTATTGAATTAATAACGCCTTGCCCCAGGAAGAAATCAACGTAACGCGTAAGTTATGGCTTATTGAATAAATCAGTGCATTAGCAAATTTTAGGCCCACTGCTGACTTTTTATGAACAGTGATGGTGCCACTCTTCAAGCCACAACTATCACATATTTCTGATTTGCCTCTTTCTACAATAACAAGTCAGTCACAACTTAATGTAAATAATATTGAGACTAAATGTAATTAAAATATTTTGATATATTGCATTGTAAATGTACGGCACATCACACTTTATCTGTCCAAACATATGAAAGGAAATAGAGAGGAACTTGCTGGATGTAGAAATAGCCTACATTTGATTTACAGCCATTTGGGAATTTAACAGTCTATTTCAATCAGCCTTTATCAGATGAGACCCGTAGTCTGTCTGCGCTGTGGGGTTTAATTATGTGGCTGTTAGTCATCAATGGGACGGTCCTGCAACGTGCTGATGTCAAAATCCACGAAGAAAATGATTCTTAAAACGGAAGTTAGACAAATTTGCCTTCAAAGCAAAAGCACAAAAGGACTGACACACACGAAATACAAGTGCAAAACTTCTGAAAAGATAAGTCTGAAGAGAAAACAAGTCGCTTAAATTTGCAGTGAAGTACAGTTAAACTGTCTGGTTTAAGATTTGCATTTAATATTTGTAGTAGTAATGGATCCTCTGTTAACCCTGGTAGCCCAATGAAAATGAAACAGACACATTTCCACTTACTGACTCATTATTTTTCTTTTTACATTTCTGATAAAAAATAAAAAAAACAAAAACAATTCTGGTAAAAAATATTTTTACAAACCCATCCTATTTGCTTTTAATACATGTTTATAAACGCAATAGTTATAAGTGAGTTATTATTATTTGATGTTGATTTAATGTCCTCAAATTAGAATTTTAAAAAATGGTAGTCATACTGAGAAACAAACTGACTGACTGCCATGATGATCACACTATATTCGATTATATGTTCATAGCTGAAAAATGCATACTAGTACATCTACATCTCTTAAAACATTGTGACTGGCACTATCTGGTAAAATGTCGCCTGTACAACATGGCACCATGAATAATATAAGATTCATTTTACAATCATTTTGTATAGCCTAATAGCACAGCCTAAACAGTAGTTTTTAAGGCTGTTTATGTCTTTATTGTAGCCTACTGTACATGATTAGACTGCAACTATTTGTTTGAATTAAATTTCTGTAATTTTGATGTAGTTCATTGGTGTGGTCTAAGCACTAGGCCTAAAATTACAAACAAAGAAATGAGAACAATTGTTATGACACAAAGTGGTTAAAAGGGATGGTCAACAGTGAACATTTGTATTCCTCTTTATTCTTCCATAAGCAAACTTTCCACAAGCTCTTCTTTTAATTTACTTTTATTTTGAAAACTGTCAAAGGAAGTGGTCTCCTGCAGTGTCTCTCATGACTCTAGTGCTGCTGCTGCTGCAGTTGTACACACAAGCAAAGGTGATGCCAGCATCCGCTCAGAGAGAGGGGGAGTGGGAGCAGTGCGGGACAATACGAAGCTGTTTGAGGAAGGGACCACATTTATTTCCCGTTTCCACTCTAAATTTTTACCACAGCCTGTGTGGTTCAGGCAGTGCGACTGTAATGTTCAAACAAGGCGGGGCTGACCCTCTTGTCTCATTTTGGACGGACCACAAGTAGGATAGCGCAGACACCGAGGAGTGCTGCTGCTGCTTCTGTTGTTGTTTTAGGATATAAGAGACATGAATTCGGCCGAACAAACGGTAACGTGGCTCATAACGCTGGGGGTCCTGGAGTCTCCCAAGAAAAGCATCTCGGATCCAGAGGCTTTCCTCCAGTCGTCTCTGCAGGATGGAGCGGTGTTGTGCAGGCTGCTGGAGCGACTCAGACCCGGGACGGTGGACAAAGTAAGTGCACGGAGGGATAGAGGTCTATGGAAGAAAAAAACAACTCATTATTAAACATAGTCTATGTCTTATAAAAAAATGAAAACAACATAGCCTACTTACATAATGAATAAACCCAATAATGTTATGAACATCCCCTTTAGGGCTCCTGAAGCTCTAGAGTATTTACAAATCATAGCCTTAATAATGAGCAATGAAAATCCCTATTATCACACATTATCCATGAGAAAATATTCAGAGATTTGTTGTCACTTTGGCATTAAACTGTTTTTTTTCTGTTCTAAAGTCAAAGGGCGTGAACACCTTTTAGTCACTAAACACTGAATTCTTGTAATATTAGCCTACTTATAGACCTACTACCACTTAGAGCCTTCATTATGATTACTTATTTAACAGGCTGCAGCTAATGGAGATTTTTTTAAATTACTGTGCAGTGTTATTCTCACCTTTATGTGATCTTTTCTTTTCTTTATTTATTTTCAGGTTATCTAATTGTTTCAAGTTACTTTTTTTTAAATTATTATTTCTATTTATTTCAGGGGCACAAAATAAAAAAAACGAGGGAGACAAGTGACATATTATGTGTAAATCTGAGACCTTTATGAATTAAATTATAAAAATTGAATCGCTTTAATACTAATAACATTAATAGAAATACTGTAATACAATTACTTATAATGAATACAGGCTGATTCTACAATGACGCCTTAGACTATGATACTACAACTGTGTGTTTTGGTCCACTGGTTATCAGAACCAGTAGGCCTACTACACTAATAGTGCTATACCTTACTTACCATAGCAAGTTACTGCTGGGACTGTTATACTATTTTCTCTCTCTCTCTCTCTCTCTCTCTCTCTCTCTCACACACACACACACACACACACACACACACACACACACACACACTCAATGGACTATGAACCTGTCAACGTCATATCCTCCTTTGGCTTATCCAACTTCCCTGGAGATTGTAGATCTTCTCCATCAAATTAGCCTGTTAGCTGAGTGAGGCAGTGCTTTTTTCAAAATAAAGGCATAGAACGTCAATGGTTGACCCGCTATACTATTTATTGTACCTCCAGAAGGAAATGCTGGTCTACTTTCATGACGGCATCAGACTTCATGTAACATAAGCTTTGTAAGTGAGTTTCTTCCTAATGCAAGTATAGCAGATAGACTTTAGTTAACGTTAGGTGACTGACAGGCGAGGAAGACATTATTCAAAACTTAAATAATCCCTAAAGTAACTGGGAAAATAAAGATACACTAATCTACCACAACTATATATCTAATTATTAACTGCAATAAGAGAATGGCAAGTGTAACTTTTACCGAAAACACACAAAAACAATGCGTCTCTCAATGAATGCTTTAGTTTGAAAGTTTGAACCGGAAGTGTGACTTATTAGCTAGCTTGATGCTGATAAGCAGCAAGTGGCAAGTGCACCAGCAACGCCTGGGGAAAAAAGGTTGTTTTCATGCGGAAACACCTTAAACACCTTCATTAACAGTTTGCTAAATAGTTCGTTTCAGTATTTGAAGCTAATTTAGCTACTTTTTGTGTGTAGTTCTTCCAAGAACCGAGGAGCGACAGCGAGTGTCAGAGGAACATAACAGAGTATATTAAAGGCTGCGGGGCTTTCGGTGTGGAGGTGAGTTAACGTATCAATTATTCATTTATTCATGCACTTACACAGTATGAAGTCTAGCAAACAGATTGCCCCACACACAAACATTTATACATCTTTTAAACCACCTTTTCATCAACTCATTTGTCCTGCTGTTTATCAGCACTTGTTTATCCTGTAGTTGTTTAGCCGTTACTCCTGTTAACGGCAGTAGCCAGCAACAGGGTCATTTATATAACAGTAACCTAATATTTTCAGATATTCCTTTATAATAAGACAATAAAATACAATTAGTGTGTCTGTGTTTAGTTTATACTTACTCAAATGTTTGTTTCGTAGCCATTCAAACATCTAAACACACTGTTAAAGTGGTAAATACAATAAGGTGGCCTCCACTAAGTGATTCACAAGACAAATACACACTAATGTAAACCAGTGCTAATATCTTTTGTTCCGTTACTACCTTCTTATAAGTCACCCTTTATAAAATTGTAAATAATAACTGGCTTTATTAATAGCAAGCACATCATGTACTGATTTTTCATGGATCAGTAACAAGCCACTGATTAACAACTTTTGGGTTGCCAGGTTGTGTAAAATTATTTTGGCAGGGACCCTTTCTATTTGGTAATTATGCAGATATAAATATTGGTAAGCCATTAAAAAATACTTATGGTTTTCTCACTTTCGATTAAGCTGTCAAATCTATATCAAACTATATATAAGAAATATGAAGCTGGAAATATTTGTTTGACTGTTGGCATGTTTATCTAAAATACATCTGTATTGTTATCAGACTTTAAAAACATGTATTAGGGTGTATATATGTGCCTTTGTGTTTGCACAACAGTGGGTCATATCCTACCGCACAGTGTGTGTGTGTGTGTGTGTGTGTGCGCGTGTCGATAGGGCTAGTGAGTAGTGTTGTACAAAATGACACCACACTTATACACACAATGTTGATCTTAGCCATGGAAAAAGCCATTGAATCATAATGGAGCAGAACAGATGATGTAACACAGGAGTCCTGGGCTGTAGACCTATAACAAGGTTTTGCTCCAGACATGGAACATTATTTTAACGTTCCTAAAAGCCCAGTTAGTAATGAGGGGGATGGCTTTTGGTGAAGGAGCAATGCAAAGAGTATAAAAAGATGAATTGGAGTAGAGGAGAATTGTGGGCTGATGTAATGCAACACACCAGGCAGCCAGCAGATTTTCCAATCAAGTTGATTAGAGGCATGTCAGCCATGATACTGGAAGCCAAGGCCTCCATTACCAGCAGCCTGACTGACATCAGCGTAGTAATTCTCCCAGACACTCATTGGACAAGCAGAGGAAGAGCCAGGCTGTCTATCCAATGGAAGAGGATTACACAGTGGACAACAAGTACTAATATAACTGTGCATGAGTTTTGACTCCATGATGAACCAGGGGTACACAATGAATCAGATACAAATCGCAATCATAAATTTGGCTTCTGCTGTTAATTAAGCTTAATCGGGTGGTATATTGATTCTGTGCATTTAAAGTCAATGCCTTCTCTGCAGCACTAAATCAAGCGCTCCATATTATTAGGTAAGTTGTTTGACCAATCACAGGCATTTGTTTTAAACATGCTGTGATTATGTGCTCTCAACATTAGCATTGTATTATATTGTATTGTATCTTGGCCCATTGCCAGTTGGAGAGGTGAAAGTGTGTATTAACTGTTGGGTTCATATTGCTCCGACTACCAGTCAGTCTGCGTATATAAATCAGACCAAGTGTATTTTTAAAAGGAGGACGACATTGAAGAACTGTCTAGTTTTACTATAAGATTAAAGAAATCCAATCTGTCAACTATTTCTGGCTGCTCTCATCATGATAATATGAGATCATTTTAAATTCAGTTTTTATAGTTCCAAATTAGGATGTTTAAAAGCCGTGACTGAGTCTGTGTGGTCCTGGAGATCACTACTGCACTGAAGCGATTTGAGATTTTTGCCAGGTGTTTATATGTAGGTCTGTCTGTCTCTTTGTCTGTCTGTGGACAGATTTAGTCAAAGTGATAGTGTCACACCCGTGCAAGATGTAGTCACAAACCTTTACAGATGTGTAATTGAGATCAAAACGAAGGCCAAGTTTGAAGATGAGAGTGTTCAAGCAAGGACACTGAAACACACACACACACACTTATGTCCCTGGCCCACATGTTAAGTCGCTGAATTACCTTTGCCAAGATGGCTAGATTCAGATCTACAGAAAACAAATTGCCATACCCATATTCAATGACGTACAGTCGCTTCCAAAAGTATTGGAACAGTAAGGCAAATTCCTTTGTTTTTGTTGTTCACTGAAGACATTTGGGTTTAAGATCAAAAGATGAGTATGAGACAAGAGTTCAGAATTTCAGCTCTCATGTTGTGGTTTTCACATCTAGATGTGTTAAACAACTCAGGACATATCACCCTTTGTTTGAACCCACCCATTTTTGAAGTGAGCAAAACTATTGGAACATGTGGCTGACAGATGTTTCTTGTTGCCCAGGTGTTGCCTTTTAGGTTGATTGTCCAAACATTAAATAGCTCTGCATGACTAGTCTAAGTTTTCATCCTTGGTTCAAACCTATGAAGACAGCATTTCCTGTTAAAGAGGATAAACCAACATGAAAACCAGAGAGCTGTCTGTGGGAGAAAAGCAAGCCATTGTCATGCTGAGAAAAGAAGGAAAATTGATCAGAGCCATTGGACCAACATTGGGCATAGCAAGCACAACAATTTGGAATGTCCTGAAAAAGAAAGAAACTACTGGTGTACTGAGCAACAGACGTCAAACAGGTCGGCCAAGGAAAAGAAAACAGTAGTTGATGACAGAAATATCGTGAGAGCTGTGAAGAAACCCCCCAAAACATCAGTAAGTGACATCACCAACGACCTCCACAGTGCAGGGGTGAAGGTATCACAATCCACTGTTGGAAGAAGACTCAGAGAGCAGAAATATAGAGGCCACACCAGAAGATGCAAACCACTCACCAGCAGGAAGAATCGGAAGGCCAGATTGAAATTTGCAAAGAAGTACAGAGATGAGCCGCAAGAGTTCAGTAACACAATCTTATGGACTGATGAGACCAAGATTAATCTCTACCAAAGTGATGGAAAGGCCAAAGTGTGGAGAAAGAAAGGAACTGCTTATGATCCGAAGCATACGAGCTCATCTGTGAAGCATGGTGGAGGTAATGTCATGGCATGGCTGCTTCTGGAACAGGCTCATTAATATTTATTGATGATGTAACTGATGATGGTAGCAGCAGAATTAATTCAGAAGTGGACAGAAACATTTTGTCTGTCAATTTACGGAGAAATGCATTGAAAGTAATCGGGAGGAAGTTTATCATGCAGCAGGACAATGACCCAAAGCACACTGCCAACAAAACAAAGGACTTCATCAGGGGAAAAAAGTGGAAGGTTTTAGACTGGCCAAGTCAATCACCTGACCTTAACCCTGAGCATGCATTTCACCTCCTTAAGAGGAGACTGAAGGGAGAAACACCCCGAAACAAACAAGAACTGAAAGAAGCTGCGGTAAAAGCCTGGAATAGCATCACAAATGAAGAATGCACCAGTTTGGTGATATCGATTGGTCGCAGGCTTGAGGCAGTTATTGCAAGCAAGGGTTATGCCACCAAATATTAAATGTTATTTACTTTAAGATTATTTGTTCCATTACTTTTGTTCACCTAAGAATGCTGTGGTCTAATACAAACGGTGATATGTCCTAAGTTGTTTAACACATCTAGATGTGAATACCAGGAAATGACAGCTGAATTTCTGAACTCTTGTCTCATACTCATCTTTTGATCTTAAACCCAGATGTCTTCGGTAAACAACAAAAACAAAGGAATTGGCCTTACTGTTCCAATACTTTTGGAGGGGACTGTACATTCCTTGTAGCAAACCAGGGACTATTTCAGCAAAACACATATATGTCAAAAGTAACACAGGTTAAAAGTTGAGGACGGTTAGACATATTGTATAAATCTGGCACCGTTCACCTGTTTCGCCAAACTCACTTCTCTCATGTGGTTGGTTGCACCATACACAGTGATTTGGCATCATGGCTTGTGTGATCCCATCGCAAGATGGTCTCTGGTTCAGCTTTGACTTTCTCGCCCCAGATTTCTCCACCTTCACGCCTTGGGAATGTAGAAGTCAGGCCGTGTGTGGTATACACAAGATTAGGGGCCTTAGGGGTATGTTGATTATGGCTGTGTGAGTGACGGGGAGATTACAAGGGGGAGCTCAGACTCTGAATAATCCTGCTCCAGACTGCAGTTGGAGCAGGGATGTAACCCCCCGCTAAACTCAGCATTTCTTCCTTTTAAGGCTGACTCATGCTTTCAAAATGTAAATTTGTAATGAGGTACTGATCCAAGCTAAATAGCGATAGTGTACTGTAAAGACAAAACCCCTCAATTTCTAAAAATACGATTTTGTTCTTGAATGCATTCAGTAAACTGTATTGTAACAATGTGTTTTAGAAAACTACTGTTGTGGTAGTTATTGTTCCAACTTCATAGGTCCTTTTTTTTTATTTATAACCACATCTCTGTCTGAGAAACATGCATGGAAATGTCAGGAAGACAGCGTCCTTGTGCGCTAGTTAATGTCATGCTCTGTACATTTATTATGAATGTGTGTACATGTTTTTCTTTTCTCTTCTGTCTCAAACTCATCTGCTGTTCCAAAATGTATTTCATATTCTTCATTGTGTTTTCTTTCCTTTAGTCTTTTGAGGTCAATGACCTCCTGCAGGCACTGAACTTCTCCAAGGTCCTAAACTCCTTAGTTGCTCTTAACAAAGCTACTGAAGGTAAGATTATTGTGTTTATATTAGGGCTGCAACAATTATTTTGGTCCAGAAAATGGTGAGAAATGTCGATCAGTGTTTCCTAAAGTCTCAGATGTTTTGTTTTGTCCACAACCCAAAGATATTCAGTTTATTGTCATAGAGGAGGAAAGGAACCAGAAAATACTCACATTTAAGAAGCTGAAATCAGAACAATTACTCAAACTGATTAAATGATTACCAAAAAAGTTGGAGATAAATTTATTAGTTGACAACTAATCGATTAATCATTACTAGTTTTATATTCATGTTTGTGTTTGTAATCATGGGCACACTTTTCATGTTTGCAGTCTTTAAATTTTTTTATCATGTTTGTATAAGTGACATAAGTTTATGTTTTTGTTCATATTGTTATTAAAAGTAGTTCTAATAGTGTGGGTATTGGCATCATATGCGATAATGTCATTATGTTATTGTATATCATTTTGATAAATGCTCTTTAGGTTTATTGTTAGCATTAGTATCATTATCTTACAATGGTTTCAAATGAATTTTAGAAATTAAATTGTTAAACTAAAGTATTAATTTAATCACCGTGTGCAGATTTAGGTGTTTCTGGGGACTGTGTGTGTGTACCGCACTCCGCAACATTGAGGATCAAGTCATTTGACTCTCTGAACACTCAGAGTCGCTCTTCTAAACTGCTGCAGCCTCAGTACCGCAGCCTGGTGAGTTACCATGAAGATATACAAAACTGATATTCGTCTGTAATGATAATGAAGATGTTTATCCACCCACCCTCTCTGACCACGACTAGTAAATAATGTGCCATCTTCCCTGTCTTCTTCTTTCTCAGGACATGTCAGAGGGCAGTGGGTGTGGCCACGTGCTGGTCAAGGCACGCTTTCCCTTCCAGCAGACCAATGAGGACGAACTCTCATTCTCCAAGGGCGACATCATCAGCGTGAGCCGGCAGGAGGAGGGGGGCTGGTGGGAAGGCTCGATCAACGGCAGGTCTGGGTGGTTCCCCAGTAACTATGTACGGGAGCTAAAAGGAAGCGGTGGGTGCAGCTCTTGTTGCTTCAAATGTTGTACACCATTAAGCTCCTAGTTCCTTATTGTTGTTTTGGTCAGTTGATGGTTTGGTTACCTTTCTTGCAAGTCCTGTGTTAACATCTGTAACTTGTACTATTCTTGACTGCATTGATTTTTATACAACAGCTTGTTTATGAAATATTTTGCACAGCGAGATAAGAGCTAATAATATTATATTGCTGTTCTAATTTGAATGGCAGTAAAATAAACATTCACTTTCTTGTGTTAAACATAAAGCACATACTACTGTGTATCAAACGTTTTAGTAGACCCAAGTGTGTAAGATTTTCTCAAAGCAGTGACACAACCAAACACACACACACAGATTCACATGAACAAACGGACTTCCTGCAGGTCTGTTTTTACTGATAATGATTTACTACCTTGTTTAGTTGTATTGTGATTTCTTAAGGAAGTAGAAAGGCCTAATGATCCTTGAAACACACTTTAACCTGCTGCTAATTTGTGTGTAGCTTTCATTTTGGTTCATTAGATTAGAAATTCCTCAGGGATTAAGGACTTTCATAACTTTCTTTAAGGACTGAAGCTGGTGTTGTAGTACTCAAGACCGGTCTCAAGATCACTTTTTGATGGTCTTATTCTCGTCTCGGACTCAACTGCATTTGTACTCAGTCTTGTTTCGGTCTCAGACATTGAGGACTCTGGATTTTATTTCAAGACCAGTCAAGACCATAACTTTGGGAATATCAATAAATTGCTTTTGCTTTGTCTGATGTATTTATTAACATTCTAACTTTGACTGGATGTAAAACGGATTGCTTAAAGTGCAACCAATAACCCTAATTAAAAATGTGCTGTTCCCGTTAACGACTGCCATCCCTCCCCGTGATAGTAAGCATGGAAAAAGAGTGTTAAATAAAGATGCTTACGTTGATTTCAGCTGTTAGTGTTTGTATGTGGGTGCTTTAATGGGAATGTGGATCTTTTAGATCAATTTCAGAAGTACCTATGATCTCATTCCACACTGGTCTTGGTCTTGACTCGGTCTTGCCCTCCCTCGGTCTTGGTCTTGTCTTGGCCTCGGTATGGGCGGTCTTGACTACAACACAAATTGAAGAAATTAAATTCAGAGACTTTGAGTTTATATTACGGAGTGTGTGAATACATCGAGAGAAGATGAAGCCATTTTAAGCTTATTTAATAGATCTTTGTCCACTTTTTTTCATCTAAATCAACAAGAATCTAAATGTATCTAAACTTTTCATTTTTGTGTCACAACATTTTATTCACAAATATTCACAATTCGAGATAATTGCTGCGTTTATAAATGGTGTAAAGATTTTTATTTTTACATTTTATGATTGATGAGTTTTTCATAGTAAATAAGAATAAGAATAACATAGAAATTAATTTGCATTTTGACCTCAAACTGAACGCTGTAGACTTCTTGAGGCTGTTACCTGCTGCCTCCTGTGCTTGTAAGAGCCATTAACCTCATGTCTTGTTTGACTGTGTTGGTTGGTTGTGTTGCTTTCCGAGGAGGGAAGGCAGGAACGAAGGAAGGAAGCTCAGCAAGCACACAAAGACAGGAAGTTCCAGAGCTGCTGTATAGAAAAGAACTTCCTGACTTGCAGCAGAAAACAAGGCCCATGATAACGGTGCACAGAGGAATGGCAGTAGATTCATATGGCCAGTGGGAGTTGTTTTATGTGAGATAGCAAGATTGCACCGGAGGGAAACTGAACAATGATTGTGGTGGTTTGTCAAGTAAAAAGTGGTGAATTTGAAGTTGCACATGCCTGTCATCTTGTTTTACTGGCATAAATCATTGTTATTGAAACTGAGCTTTGGTCTGAAGAAGACTCCGAACACATGAATAGCAAAGACCAAGATTAGGGTTAAAAGAAAAAAGAAAAGCAAGGCGAAGAATACCTCTCTATATGTTTTATAGTATCCTGATTATAGCAGATTCAGCTTCAAGTAGCCCTTTACTTTCAGATAAGTCTATAAAGGACATTATGCTACCCATTGTCTAGAAAATGCTTGTTATTCTTCTGACTTTACATTGCATTACTCCAAAGGACAATAGTAAAGTGAAGGATATGACAGCATGCGGTAATGTTGGCCATACAATGCTGAAAAAAACAATAACGAGGACAGGGAAATGACATGACATTGTGGAGTCAGTAAATTAAAACATTCAGTCAGTGGAAGAGATTTAAATAGCTTTAATGTGGTTTTGCACATCTATCTCTTTCAGCTATGTTTGTTGCAGTCTACCCAGTTACTATTGTTTCCAAGCCAAACAGAAACCTGTGTCACCGATAGGAGCAAAACATGTACTATTTTGACTATTTTCCTCACCTTAAGTGTAACTTGATGTTGCATTGTTATTGTGTGCATCAAATCGCTGAATTGTTCTCTCCCTCTTTCTTGCTTTATAGACAAGACATCAGACAAGCAAAAGTCTGGGACACTGAAAAGCCCCCCCAAAGGTTTTGACACCACTATCATCAGTAAGACCTACTACAATGTGGTAAGCATTATTCTTGAGAAACTCTGTGTGTGTGTGTGTGTCTGCATGCATGTGTGCATTAAAACTGATTTAAAACATAGTGGTCACAGATAGATACAACAGTTCCACCCAGAAATGAATCTATCTCTGCTGCTATAGCTTTAAGGTTAAACTAATGGGGTGATGTGTGTGTGCTTTTTGACTGTTACGATCAATTATGTTTCATCCACACATCCAATTAATGATGGTGTGGTTGTGTCTTTGTGTCTGTATGAGCATTTGTGGAGGCTGCATGGCACCCCTGCGTGTTTTGTCTGTGTGTGAGTGTAGCAGATGTAATGTAGGTTATTTCTTCCATTCCAGTGATTTCTGGGGCAGCCTTGCCTTAGGGTTGGCTTCTGTCAGTGTGTGTGTGTGTGTGTGTGTGTGTGTGTGTGTGTGTGTGTGAGTGTGTGTGATTTTTAATAATGCAACAAGCTGCCCCGCAGTCTCTCTAGACAGTCCATCTTTGGTTTCGGGTACCTGAGTCTCTCTTTCTCACACACTCACTCACTCATAGACCCTGCCTGAAGTCAAAGCTGTTCCCAGACAGGAGTGCAATATAAAAAAAAAAGTTTTAATAAAAAGGTTTTTTTTTTTCTTCTAACGGAGAATCCCAAAAAGCTTTACAACAGAAGCTTGTTTAAGTAGAAGATGCAGGCTTTGGGCTTTTTTGGGCCACGCTTTTGTTTCAAGTTTGAAAATACCAATGTTTTCCACCATATTCTTCTTGCCAGTGTCCTCTTACACATCAATTTTTATTGAAAAATGAATACATAAAAATGTTATATAGATAAATAATCTTTACTACCCCCTGACCCGAGGGGAGACATAGCAACATGTGTTATTAAATGCAGCAGTTCATTATTAGAAACATTATTCCTGAAAGGTTTCGGATGTTGTGGACAGATTAGCCAATTATCCTGTGGGGTCGGACCTGTGGAAAGCTACTCCAGTCGGTTTTACAGCTCCAGCTGAGTCGGATATCTCTCTCCATTAGCTTAATGCAAAATCCATCTCTCACTAAAAAGCGATTTAGCAGGATATTGTGTTAGGGTCTCGTCTTATTTCCGGAAATGTATTCTGAATGATGCAGACAGAAAAAAGAAAACTAATTGTTGTCACATGAATGGAAGACAATGTGTGTGCTTTGATGAGGATAATGCTAATTACCAACACATTCAGCCAAATTTTACATTTGAATTATGTATTTTAACTTAACTTTTATCAGCTGCAGAGATTCATTGGCTCTTGTTGTATTCTGTTTCACCCTTTAAAACAATGAACATTTTTTTATTATTATCTGTTAATCCAGCAGATATTTTCTTGACAAACAGATTAATCAATGTTATTAAATAGTGAAAACGCCCATAACAGTATTTCAAATGTCATGTGATGTCTTTAAATGCCTTCCTTTGTCCAACAAACAGTACAAAATCCAAAGATGTTGAGTTTACCATTATATAAAACAAGTTAAAAAGTGACTCAAACAATTATTAATGATCAGAATAGTTGATGATTACGTTAATTCTGCTTCTCATTTTCAGCGTTGAGCCTAGCTGGTGCACAAAAATGTTTGGAATATTTTATATTTTTTGGAATAAATCTTACGAAGTAATATGATAATATGATTATGATATGATTAATATGTTAATAGTACTTTCATCTATAAGTTATGGGAATGGGAATTTTTATGGGCAACAGCATTCAGTACTGCCATTTTAAAACTGCTCTCATATCTTTTCCCATTATTTATTCTTTGAATCACTCACTGTAATAAATATAAATGTGTGTGTATGTGTATGTGTGGGTCATGTCAGGTCCTACAAAACATCCTGGAAGCAGAGAGTGAATATTCGAGGGAGCTACAGAGTCTCCTGGGCTCATACCTGCGCTCACTTCACCCCACAGACAGGTGGAGTTATTTTTACACTTTCTATTGTTTATTCAGTCAGATTTTTGTGGTAGAGGTACACACATGTCTAGCAATATCTAATGCAATACCAGTATATACACGCTGGATGTTATTTACAGTATCAGATTTTACATACAGTTTATTACAAAATGCATTGCACATGATTTACTATCCCACTACTGTATCGGAGATTGGCAGGTATATTGATTGATTTATAACAGCATTTCTTTGAAAATGTGTGATCCATTTTGATTGGATTACATACAAACATGAATTGATATAATTCAGAGTTTATCTGTTTTATCTGTGTCAACCATTAGAAATCAATCTGATCTGGAGAACATTTACGTTAATGTACAAATATATATGTAACATATTGATGAGGGTTAGAGCCAAGAACTGTATTTAATCATAAATATCTGCTCTCCTCTGTCTTGCAGACTCAGCAGTGTTGACATCAGTCAAATTCAGGGGAATCTGGAGGAGATCTCAATCTTCCAGCAGATGTTGGTTCAGTCCTTGGAGGAGCATACAAAGTCAGTTCACTGATCTCACACAGGGTTCCAAAGAACTTGCTAAAAAGGCTTTTTTGTAATGCAGTGTTGTATTAATCGATAAGTCGACAAAAATCAAGTTTTGTTCAAATCGATATTTTGTTCCAGTCATTTTCCAAACAAAATTGTCAACCTTGAAATGTGTGCGTTTGCAGCTTTTCTTAGTTTGGTCAGAGAAAAGCACATTAAATGACACCTAATGTCTAATATCTTTGGGGTCTGGGTCAGACAAAACAAGAAATTTGAAGATGTGTCCTTGTGTTTCCGTGATACTATGTTAGACATTTTTCACCATTTTCTGACATCTTACAGACCAAATAATTAATCAATTAGTTGAAATATTAATTATGATAATAATAATAATAATAATAATAGTTAAAATAAGCAGAATAATGGATGACAATGATTGATAGTTGCAGCTTTTGTTGATAGTATATGTAGCCTTGTAAAAACAAAACCCTGATCATGCTAACATCCGGTTTAACAAAAAAAACAAAAACATCCTACAGCTTCACTCCAAAACAGAGGGCTGCAGGGTGGACTGAAGCACATATCTGACATTTGCTTGAATGTCGACAGTCATTAAAGCAACAGCAACATCTAGTGGTAGACTGAAGTATCAGTCTGTCTGTCTGTGCCCCTGTGTAACTGCGGTCCAGACAGCAGCAGGTGTCTTTTTAAAGTGATCAAGAAAATCTTTTTTTTGTACATTCATTATAGACATTTTGAGTCCCTGAGGACTAACTGATGCCCCATAATTGTCATTCAATCAAATCTTTATTCTTATGTGTGATTAAATATGGCCGTCTAATGTGTCATTTGTGTGTATAGACTTCCAGAGAACCAGCAGAGGATCGGCGGGTTCTTCCTGAATCTGATGCCCCAGATAAAGATAATCTATGTGGCCTACTGCTCCAACCACCCGTCTGCTGTCAACGTACTCACACAACACAGGTACAGTTAGAGAAATACTGTGTTTGCAGGCGTGTGCATGTATTTAAACCACAAAATCAAATATTCTGCTCTAAAGAGATAACAAGAACTTGTGTGTTTGTTCCAAAAGTATGTGAATATAGTTGTTTGTGCATCACAGTGAGGAACTGGGGCAGTACATGGAGTCAAAAGGGGCGTCCGCTCCAGGGATTCTGACTCTGACCACTAGTCTGAGTAAACCCTTCACCAGACTGGAGAGATACCCAACGCTGCTGAAAGAACTGGACAGACACATAGAGGTTAGCTTCAATCTATCTGTCTCTGTGCGTGATTATCCAAATAAACCAATAAGCAATTTTTTGTTTTTGACCTGTACAAATAAATGTAATAGTGTTATTTTTCTTCTAAACAAGAACTTGCCAGGACCTAAATCTCCATGCATGATATTGGTAAAAAAAACTTCAGCGTGTTTCCATGTTTTCTTCTTTGTCATTGTCTTAGGACCAACATCCTGACAGAGCTGATCTCAACACTTGCATAATCACCTTTAAAAACTTTGCAGTAAGAAACAAACACACATAAACATGTGTTTATTCTTATAACAGTTAAAACAATAATGTTTTCCGGTAACTGTTAGTTGTGACTTTCTTTGCTATTTTCCTGAAGGATTACTCAAAGCATCTCATGTTCAAGTCAATCTGTCATCACCTTTATGTGTAATCTACTAATAGGAGACAGTGGTGATGATTCAAACATATCTCTTTTGTGCATTTTTGTGTCTTTGAATGTTTCTGTCTGTGTGTTTGTGTGTGTTCAGGCTCACTGTCAGGAGGTGAGGAAGAAGAAGGACCTGGAGTTGCAGATTTTAACAGAGCCAATCAGAAACTGGGAGGGGGATGACATCAGAACCCTCGGCCCTGTTCTCCACATGTCCCAGGCCAAAATCCACACGCAGCACTGCCAGGTACTCATCAGAGCCTCCAAACCATTTAAACTACGCCCTGAGACCATCCTTCTTTACAGAACAGCTTTGTATGTGGTTGATTGATCTGACCTGCCAAAAGAAGAGTAGAGTTTTGATTTACTGGAGGAGAGCTAAGACAAACTGACCCAAACAGGTGTGGTTAAGCTCGAGTGACATCAAAAGAGTACGTAAAAGGTACTTTGTTTGTTTTTCAGGAGTCAAATGAACGCTACCTTGTCCTCTTCCCTCACACTCTGCTTGTGCTGTCTGCCAGCATGAGGATGAGTGGATTCATCTATCAGGTATGTTTATACTACATGAGATTAAACTTTAAATCATGACTTCTGTATATGTATATGCCTAACTTACACCCATTATAAGTAGCAAACAAATGTGCAAATGTGTGTCTCTGTAGGGGAGGATGCCACTGTCAGGAATGCTCATCTCCAGAATAGAAGACGGAGACAACCTGAGGAATGCTTTTGAAATATCCGGTCAGCCCGTTGTCTCATTTAGCTAGTAGACCTTGAGAATTGAGCTCATTTATAGAATATGATTGTTGAAGACATGTTTAGGCTGGATACATGAAAGGTTAAAAAGGGAAATTCGCTATTCACAGGCAGGTGAATACCAAATAACACTTTGTTTCCACTGTGTTTACATTTGTAGTCCTTTATTATGTAATCTCTATACAGTGTTTATTCTAAGGGTGTGTCCGCAATCAAAGATATGTCTCTCTGTTCACAAGCAATTTATGAACTAGTTCACCAGAAGTCAGTGCCCTTTCTCTGTGAGTTGGTCAAAGGCATTATAAGATAGTCAATATGCCCTTTTTCCTTTTGACCACATGGAATAACTGTGTTTGTCTGTACATTTCTACATTTGTTTTTGTGTATGTGTGTGTGTGTGTTGTCATGCAGGTGGCCAGTGTGAGCGGATGCAGGTGGCGTGTAACAGTCAGCGCGACCTACAGGACTGGCTGGACCTTCTCACCAAACACACACACTCGCACAAGCCTCAGTCCGTCTGTCACACAGTAAGTCTCCAGGTTTTTCAGAATAATCAATTAAGCAGTTAGTCAGTTGATCCTCATCCTCATTACTGCCGTCATACATTCTCTCCTCTCTTTCCTTTCCTCTTTTCTACTCTCTTCTGCTCTTCTCCCAGTTGCCCTCTCACCCCGCCACTCCCTCCAGACACTCAGAGTCTCGTGGAGGGAGCATTGGAAACACCTACCACACCCTTCCCCATCCCTCTTCATTTGAGACAGCCCACAACAGCAGCCCAATGTGGGGACCCCTCGAGCCACCGAGTACCCCCAAACCCTGGAGCCTGAGCTGCCTACGCCCTGCGCCTCCACTCCGGCCCTCAGCTGCTCTCTGCCAGAAAGAGGTGCTAAATATACTAAAATGAGGCAACACCATATTTATACTTTACAGACTTTATATGTTGCTCGAAGTTGTTTTTAAGAAGATAGGGGCAATATTTTAATTAAATTTTTTTTCCCAAATTCAGTCACTTGATCTTAAAAAGTTCTTTTAAATTGGAATTGGAGCTACATTTCTCCAGTGCCTATTTCTGCGTCTCTGTGTTGTAGGATCTGAGTAAGAGTCCTAAGAACATGAAGAAACTGCTGCCTAAGAGGAAGCCAGAGAGGAAACCTTCAGAGGAGGACTTCACGGTAAGAAAAAGTAAGTATGAAACTCATAAGCACATCAATTACATAAAACAAATGGCTAGACAAAAATAATATAATAATATATTAAGCTTTAATGAAACTGGTAATGTTTGCTTAACTTCCATTTTCGTCACTGCCCAAAAAATGGTTTTATTTAATACATTTTCATCACATTTAAAAATTAAAAAAGCCCACATATTTTAACAAACTAATAACAAATGACACATGTCCACAGGAAAAACCCAGGCTTTAAGAATAATGTTTATGGACTTCTACTACTTCTAACTACAGCTACAGTCAGCTGTTCTGCAATGCTGCAAAGAACTGTACATCTCCAACATGGCTGCCAGAGGGTGTGTTGCTGAAAGTCCACTGTTTGCGGTATTTAAGGACACCTGAATGCTTTCTTTTCTCCATCTTTCTCCACCATCTCCCCTGTCCTTGTGCCCATTGTCATTGTCTCTCAGGTACAGCAGCTCTGGAGGAGGATGCTCAGATACTGAAAGTGATTGAGGCCTACTGTACCAGCGCCAAGACACGACAGACTCTGAACTCCAGTGAGTGTACTGCACACACACCCATCAGCACACTGACATATGACTATATGGACAAATGTACCCTATCGAACACCTTTGTGATGAACTAGAACGGATATTGCGAGCCAGGCCCTCTCTTCCTACATCAGTGTCTGACCTCTTTTGGATGAATGGGAAACAGTTCCCACAGACAAACTCCAAAACCTTTCCAGAAGAGTGGAAGCTGTTATAGCTGCAAATGGGGACCAACTCCATATTAATGTCTATGGATTTAGAACTATATGTCATACGAAGAAATGTGTAGGTGTCACAGTACTTTTGTCCATATAGTGCAGTGCTCCCACACAACTAGCTGTCTTATTGCAAACCACTGTCTGTTCTCTGCTGTCAGCTCTAACAATGATTTCTCTCTCCTCTCTTTTCATGTCTTCCCTGCGTCCCTCTGCTTTCCTCATCCTCCAAACATTGTTTTTTTTTTTAAATACTTCATCCTTGCTCTTGTTTGGTTTCATCAACATCCTCCTCCTTTTATTCTGAATGCTGTTTTACTCTTGTTTCCTTAAATTGGACATGATTTATCCCACACAAACCTTCTGTTTTCCTTTTATTTCTGGTTGCATTTGGTTCAAATCTCATATTTTAAATTAATGTCCACAACCACATTATGGTTTGTCCCAAACCCTCCTCCTTTATCCAATATGGTTTGTGCGCCTCGCCTCATCCCTCCAACATCCAATTTGTTTTTTTCAAACCCCATCTGTTGCGGGTTACATTATGGTACAGCCTGGCAAGGGACTGACCTCATGCACAACCACGTGCTCGCCGACACCAGCCTCACCATCGCTGGTTGCTCCGGCAACCTGCCTTGTTCTGACCAGTCAGAGGACTCGGATTATGACAGTATCTGGACCGCCCATAGTTACAGGACTGCCTCATTTTCTCGTAAGATATCAGTGTCGCAAACTACTGACATGCTAGCAAACTAGCTAGCTTACAACTAGGGATGGACATATATATCTATACGTCATCCCAAACCTTTAACCTGCTGTGTCTATGTGTCTACTGTATATTTTAGATACTTAGTATTTGTCTTTGTGTATAAGCCTGTGTTTCCCATGAGTATACACTAGCTTCAGTAAGCACAGAGTAACAGTCCTCATTACAGTTTCTTGGTTTCACACATTCAGACTAATCCGCCAGTGTGAAAGAGACATTTTACGTCAGCAAATTGTCAAAGTGATATCATCTGGTGTTTCCTTACTTGTAGTTTTTAAGGCACCATATCCTAGTGTCCAAGTAAAATATTTGTTTGTTTGTATACGTGTTTGTTTGTGAATTGTGAAGGGTAAAGAACTTAACACTGTTGTTACCGTTCAATTAGGCTCGAGCAGGAAGGACGTACACATGTTGTTCCCAGAGGAGGAGAAGATTATAGTGGAGGAGACCAGGAGCAACGGACAAACTGTAGTGGAGGAGAGGTGAGAGAGGAGAACTGAAGGTGTGTCTTTGTGTGTGCTGTACAGTATACTGAATGTGAACTAACACAGATAAGTAAGCTACTGCAGCATCAAAATGCAAGACACTAATTCAAATATAGAAAATACAACAAAACCAATCACAGCACACAGTAAGTAGAAACTCCCCAAATATAAAATGAAAACCTTCAGTGTAGACATTCGCAGCATGTATGCAGGGGGTGGATATTAGTTTTGTATTTTTAAATATTTATTTATTTACCAGTGACAATGCACATTAATCAACATTTCAGTTGACACATCTATTGCCATGTTTCCATCCAATTGGCATGCGAATTTTGAGCGTACTTTTGAAATGTCGCAACAACAAATAAATTTAACAAATTGCGAAATGTGTGCGTTTCTATCAGCTGGTTTGGAGCGAATAAACAAGGCTACGGCAAGTGTTGTTACGTCAGTAGTTGACGTTTCACATGGCTGTAATAAACAAAGACGTATGGGTTCCAAACCAGAATCAAAACCAGTCGCATCAACCTGATGGCCATTGATCTGAGAAAAATGGGGAGATGTCCTCAGAAATGTGTTACAAGCGGGCAAACTCTTACCAGCCATGTCTCGCACGTAATGGGAATATCCGGTGTTACGGTCATTTATGCTTAGAAAAGAGGTGGATGCAAATCTCGGCAGGTAGCCTACGAAATTTGATCTGCCGAATTATGCATCCACCTCTTTAGGTCCTTTTCAGACACTTTGCTGTGCTGATTGATCAAACGGCGTTATCACCACATATATCTACTGAATGTCAAGCAATGGTACTTCTACTAAGTGTATTAAAATATTAAAGACTCAGTGGTTCTCAACCTTTTTTGAGCCAGCGCCCCCCTATCCATTATCCAGATCCCTTACCGACCCCCAAGTTTGCTACGTCAGAACTTATTCGGGAAAAGTGTTTCCATCACCCATTTAGCGCATTAACTCTTTTTCGACAAGGGCAAGAACCACCTCATGCGAGTGTAAAAAAAAAAGTGTAGAATTTTCCATCAACCTTTTCTAATGCGATACTTCAAAATGCGCATTAAAAAACGTTGATGGAAACACAGCTAATGTAAATGTGCTTCCGTTTGCTAATGAGCTAATTTTCATCCATAGTCCCTGAGCAGGTATAAAAAATATATAAAAAATTGGTGCCTAATGTCATCAATACAATGCTGCGACACATTTGTTTGATATGAGTTTGATATGAGCTAAACAAAATAAAAATGTAGTAAAAAAGAAAAAAACATACAATATATGACATTTCACACACATTGTGTGAAAATGTGTTGATGGTGTCAGTCCGTGGTATATCACTGTATCAGGCAGCAGTGTATGTTGAAATAAAACAGCTGTTCTGCTCCTGCAGGAGTCTGGTGGACACTGTGTACAGTCTGAAAGATGAGGTCCAGGAACTCAAACAGGTGAGTCTGCAGTTTTCTAAATGTATTGCTAACCAGGGCTTCTCCTTATCATCAGTTTTCTGCCCAAATGTCCCACTTCTTAGGGTTCAAACTTGGGTCCAGTAAGCCATAATGTGGCCAAATACATCTCTGACTATATCTGCATTATTAATTAGGGATGGTGTTTCATTTAGTCCAAACAAAAAATGATCTCATATTATCCCTTTACTCTTCCACTTGACTTCTCTCTCTCTCTCTTATCTTTCTCCAGGACAACAAGCGGATGAAGAGGACGCTGGAGGAGGAGCAGCGAGCAAGGAAAGAACTGGAGAGGATTGTCCGGAGAGTTCTGAAGAACATGAATGACCCAACCTGGGACGAGACCAACCTCTGAGATCAATATGCATCTGATCATCATGGACAAGACCAACCTCTGACTTTTAAATGATCAAATGATGAACAAGTGTGGACCAAGAGAAAATGCCTGCCAGCCATCAACAAAGCCATCCCAACTGACCGTAAAGCTGTGAAGCCAAATTAGCTGGTAGGCATGACTTCCTGTCAAGTTCCTTTACACTTTCAAACAGCCCTGTTTGGAGTGCTGACAAACAAATCAAATTTCCCTTATTTACTTGCGTGTTTATCTTTTATTGCGCTTTGTGCTTATATGCATTAATTATAAAATGTAACCGCTGCAAGGACAGTATTTTATTCACTTGCCTGGTGCACGAATAAGAACGCAGTGTGGGTTTATATATTTCAGAAATGTTAGAGCAGTATGTGAATGAAATTCCTCAATGAAACTTGAAATACAATTTTTTTTTTTCCATTAGCAGCTATTTTGTTTAAATTTCTAATGTTAAATCTTATTATTATGAAAGACAGCTTTAAAATTCTAGGTTATTGATTCACAGTCCAACTATCTATACAGTTGGTTTATTTGTTATATCAAATACAAAGTGTAATCGGGCACTCAGTCACTGCATTTTAAGCTAAACCTAAATTTACCAGCACTTATAAGTGACCTGTGTGTTTTTCAGGATGAGATGGAAGTTCTCAGTGTGGTGTAAAAATTACTGCAGCTATGTCAAACATCTGACAGACCACCATATTTTATGGATCTACTGCATTGCTTTATTGGATATGTACATTTCTGGCCAGTGATTATTTTGATTATTTTTTAAGAATATAATAATTTTTGTGTGTCAGTAAGTTGTTCTTCTACTTCTGCATACAAATGGTTGTTTGGAGGCTAAACCTAAAAATAAACTGACTTTTGACAACGATCTGCTTTAGTTAACAGAAGACTAGATGATAGTATGTGAGCCTATCAAATTGTAAACATCTCAAAAATCTGTATTTATTGGAAAATTGTCTTGTTATTAAAGTGAAGCTGGAGGGAGATTTTCTCAGGAATTAATGTGACCATCAGGGAGTTTAAGCTTTCAGCTCCAGATTAACATCTATTATTTCATTTCATTTCTTATATTTAAAAAGCTATAGGAAACTTGATGTAGGATCATGTTACTTTCAAATGTGATGTACTGTGCAAAGCATTTGAAGATACAAAATCAGATACAAATAAAATCAAGAACAACGTGGAAATAATGCAAATGACCTCAAACATACGCACCACAACGAATCCATGTGACTTAGGCTGCCATGGCTGCATGCAAACATGGCAGCACAGAAATCTCACAGGCATTCACTGGATGTTTGAGCCAAATGAGGTTTTAAAGACAAGAACTTAAAACAATACAGAGCAGCAAGTTCATCCCAACTAGAAACAAAATCGTGCTAAACACTGACAGAGTATGGACACACTACATGTGTGGAATGAGCTTATATATCATTTCCACCAGAAGATCAACTCCATAAATGACAAAACAAGGACTGTATTCCACTGCAAGCATTTGGAATTGGTAGAAACAGAGAGGCCAATAAGCTGTTTAATCATTACACATGTCTGCCAACAGCCACATAAAATATGTGTAGATAAACAGTATTGCTGCCAAGTCACAATTCATTTGGAAAAAGCGTGTCTTGCAGAATTAAAAAAAATTCTAACAGTTCCTGCACTGCCTCGTGGACTAAACCTAGTTTACCAGCTAATTTGATATCCTGTTCTGCTGAAATTCACAAAATATCCTTTTCATTTGTAATAAAGCTCCTTAGAAGTTTCATGTTGAAAAATCAGGCTAAATGTACATATTTCACTTGTAATACTGCTTTTGTTCAACATTTTTAACTTGTTCTAACCTTGTGGACCTACTGTCACCACTTTCTGCTCCAGCTTTCAATATTATGATTGTCAGAAGGAGAAACAATAAGTGTTTAAGCGGAGAGATACAATCAAATACATAAAATAAATATCTTCATGTTTTGAAGCCAGGCATAATACGGTATATACATACTGTGATATAAAAGTAATACAAACTCCTAATGTAACAGCCCAGAATGGAGAAACAATAATGTAAAAACATAATGTGATCATATAACAATATGGACACCAAATAGCATTTTGAGTTTATATTACATTTTTAATACAATATGCATGGTCGTCGCACTGTCAGAAGCAGGCAGAGGAAGTGATTGCAGGTCTTTAGAAACCAGTTTGGTTGATTAAACACTTTGAAATGTCTGAACAATTAAACTGAAATGATACTGAGACATTGGTTTGTATAGGAAAATAGTGCATGGCTGTTCATTTTTAGTTTGTCTTAACTTGCTGCCCTTTCTGTTTCAAGACCAAAGTCCAAGCAATACAAACACTGGGAAATGCTTTTTTTTTTATGATTTTTACTATGTCAATATGCAACCTACTGTAGAATGATTTCTTATTTTTATATTTGTGATTGTGGTTTTAGTCTTATGATTGTGGTTTTGATTTGTAACACTACTTGTTTTCTACTTGACCTGGTTGATCACACTAAAGATTTGTACAGAACAGCAGCATATTTCTCATGAACCAGAGGAGACGTGCTGTGGGGAGAAGAATAATCTTTGTTAAAGTTATTAAAAACTTCACCTGCAGATGAAATATTACTGAAATCAGAAACCACACTCATGATGTAAGCCATGCAATACAGTATGCCAATTACTGTTTCTAACTTATGTATTTAACTGAAAGTGACTGATGTAAATGTGATGTGTGTTACAATGTTATGGTGATGAAGGTGATAATAGTAGTTACTCTGATATGAATTGTCCCCCCTCTATTTATTTCACCCATTTGTCTGTGAATAAAATGTTGAATCAAACACTTATGTCTGTATGACTATATTTCTATATTTATGATGTTGCTGATATAATGGACTATATAGTTGAAGGAGTTTATTGTGTATGTAGAAGAACTGCAATACTTTATTTCCAGACTTTACCCCCAACACAAGTCTCTCTCCAGCTCTGACTCACGTTTCCAACGGCGTTTACCTGCAACAACTCGCCTCTCACGAGATTTCAGAGCAAGAATTGTTCTTTAGCGAGACTTCTGTTACCTGTTAAAGTAAAATCATCATGAGTCACTCGTAACCAGTCTGAGCCTGTCGGTGGCAAAGAGAGGCACTTTTTGTGGATGTAATTTTGACGAGCAAAACTGGCCCGAAAGAGTAAATTGCAGCCGGTTCGCGGCGACACCTGTCCTGCATACCGGTGAGTACCAGTCGGTACCGGTGTTCTGACGATATATGCTGCCTTGTCGAAAAATGCTACTCTAGCGCAAATCGATAGCAGAGTCTATCGAGTAGCTCTGCCCTATCGAAAAATGCTACCGTGTTGCCATTTCCAGTCTCTTAAAGGTATAGGTATTATGACGTCTTCTGTTTTTGATTATATTATAACATCATTTCAGGGGTAACGTTAGCATATTCTGATAATGACTAATATCCCCTATCAAATAATGCTCCCACTACATAATCATTTTGTATTGCACCACTACTCACTCCATGTGTACTGTAAGGAGATGGGACATGTTGAAATACTATATTATGCCCTTTTTATTTAAGATATCAGGGGTAGTATTCTGATAGACTAGTAATTATTTTCTTTTTGAAATTGCTGACGATCAGTGACTTTCTCGACAGCGTGTCCAACAGATGTATGGGCGTGGAAAAAGACCACGCTTGTGGGTTGTGCGCATGCGCGGAACCGCTAAGGAGCACATCTCGATAGGTAGCATAAATCGACAGAACACCGGCCCACTTCAAGCACTAAAGCTAGCTAACTAACTGACGTTACTTCCGCTGGAAAACTTGTTGTTGCAGTATCTGAATTAATTTTGCTGTTTCATTTAATTTATATTAACTTTCTGTTGTTTGTCCTGCGGTCAGAATGACAGGCTTCACTTCAGAGTTTCTTTTCCAGTAACAATGTTTACAGTCATTTTTAATCAAAGGATACAACTTAGCAGGCCTTCTTATTATTATTATTTTATAGTTTTATGGCGGTTGGCATCCATAAATGTTGCATTACCGTCATTTGCTAGATTAAACAGTTTCCCAAAATGAAAAACTCCTTCCAGGGTGCTTGTAGTTTTCCTTGGCAACCAGCAGATGGCGTGATACCACATAGATTTGGGCTCAGCGGCTTGTATGTGCTGCCAGATATTTAGGTTTTAAGCTTTAGCAAACTCTAAATAAAAAGTCTCTGGCTTTAGGTTGTAATACGGGGTCACTTCAGTTTTCATGATTCAGTAGCCTATAATAAGTCTATGATGGGTTGCAAACATTGGACTTTACCGAAAAAGGTATTCATTAAATGATTTTGAAAATTAGATTCTCAATCTAATAAGACTCTGGTTGTTATAAGGTTATATCATATTCCCTGGATACAGGCCATATTGTTCTTTTCCCTTGGAACTGCAGCCATTGCTATTCAAAGTATTTTTATGAATGTGCTAAAAGAAACCTTAATTAATCACTGATTTAATGCACCACCCAGTGAGCACACTAAGTGACCCAAATCAAACATGCCCATGATGTGCATGCTGGGTCTGGCTGAAACACTAAATGTTATTAATCTCATGCTGGGTCCTCCAGCGGTGACTTCTACATTTACCCAGGAAATTTTACCTTCAGTGAGATGTGTGAGGCCTTTCTGCTGTTTGTGACTACTATTAACACACTCTTGCACACTCTTTTAGCTCCAGATGTTTAAATTTGAGGAGTACAAGGAACAGAGAGTCTGCGTGGACTGGTTATAGTTTGTATTGTGAATGGCCGAGCAGAGTTGAACCTAGGGCAGATTGTGGAAGACTTTGCGTTTTCTAAGACTACCAGAATGAGGGCTGCCGCTGCTGTGGAGTTTATACTATTTACATCTCTGTGTTGACTGCCTTTGTGATGCTTTATTCTGCTGTTATAGTGTTAGGTTATTTAATTTCTGTAGCGTATTATACAGCTTGTTTCACTGGCCACGGTGCCAATAGTTTACAGAGGATGGTGGTTGTATATTCATAAGTGATCATAAGCTGTACGCACCGGCTGCACATGTCCATAGACATGTATTATATTGTTTGGATGTTAGGGCTTTGTGGTGTGGTATTTATAGACTGAAATGTTGGTACATTTTATTTTGTAGCTTAAAGATGTTCTTTAATTGAATAGTTCTATCATAACATCATCAGTCATCATCATATAACCTAACCCCAGCCCCTCCTTTTAAAAAATGCAAGGCAGTAACGTTTACTCAGAGTACATTTTAACTTTTTAGTACATCTTTACTTTTACTTGAGTAATGTAACAGTACTAGGCCTACTACTTGAATAAAGGTAGTACTCTTTCCATCCCTGCAGATTACATATTTTTTTCCAGGGAATTTTAAGAAAATTATAGACCGGCAGAAATGTTACAGTTTTTTTGTTTCAAAGTACTTTCCATGCTGCGTGGAATAAATTTCAGAGAATTAGGGAACCCTGGTGGAAGACTGGGTCAAAACTAAAATCTCGAAATTCCCAGAAAAATACAGAATACAGTGTAAGCAATGTTAGCTAGGGGAATTATTATTCACTGGTTAAAAAAATGCCCTGTACTAATAGAAATAAATCAGACTTAAAATACAACCAAATCTACATGAGGTAAAATGTTTCTATTGTATTTTACACAATGAAAGATTAGTAACAGGTTGGATTTATGTTATGAATGTGTTTTCCTCAAAACCTGCCACTGTGTCTTTTTAAAAAAGAAAATGGGGCCTGGAGCTGTGTTTTCAGGGGCCCTGAACTTTCTAGCTACACCCCTGCAATAAAAAAAAATTGCAGACATTTATAACAAGGTGAGAAGCTTTAGACGGTTGTTATTAAAAGTCAGCTCTTTCTTGGTTCATTTGCTTTTTATGAATCCCCACAGGCTCACTCATACGTTTCAGTCTTTTTTATTCTCTTGCACCCTTCTTCCTCCCACACCTTCTTCTTTCTCTGTATTCTTGCACCCTCACTCCTTTCATTTTCCTTCTTTGCTGCTCTTCTTCTTCCTTCCCCAACCACACTATTTGCTTTGTATGACAAAACGCACTGTATACACACGTGCAGCTGTGGCTGTGTGCCGCTGAAGCCGCTCTGTGCACACAGATGATATTTTGCTGCTTGATGACAACAATCTCATGCTGCAGCCTTGAGCTCCTCGGAACAATAAATGTCGTGAACAGAGTGTGAAAAAAGAAATCTGCCAGGCATCAGGCATCCTGCGGTAATGACTGTGCGTGTGTGTGTGTGTGTGTGTGTGTGTGTATGTGTGGTTCATGTTGTGATCCAAATGTCTCAATATACAAGATGATGAGCAGGAGACGTGGCTGTTTGAATTAATTTGCTGATACTGCAGTGTAGCTGAGAGTTTGTTCCAAGAAGTTCAGTGTTTGTCTGTAATTGGTCAATTGTACCATAGCAGAATTTAGCATGTGTGTGCATGACAACTTAAAAAAATCCAAATGCCTTGAACATTCCCATGGCTGTATTTGCCTGTTTTATGTTTGGTGAGAGATTAAAGGTGCTATGGGTAGCAAGTTTAAACATCCACAGACCATTGTCAAATTAACTGTGATAGTTCTGGTGTAGTTGGTGGGTTGTATGTCACACTACATTTGATGTTTCTCAAAACTAAGACTTCATTTCCCATAAACCCTTCTTGGAAAGAGGCTGCAATGGCTTATCCAGCCACCTGCTCTTTATTATGTTTACCTTTATTGAGGAGAATAATGTTGAAGTGATTTTTCCCTATTAATCTTTAACGTTTTTCCAACAAAAGAGCACCTAATATCTTTCTCTTTGGTGCCATAAAGCAATCCTTCAGATGTACTGGCAAGTCTGACCAGTGGCATGCAATATAAAATTAAACATAAGGCTAGCAGGTTACACGGTGATGGTAGCAAACATTAACAATACAAACATTAAGTGGTAATTATTTATCCATTTTAAGGGTACATGTTGCTCCTTTACAGCCAGTACATATCTGTAAGTCTATATTTACAGTCTTGTCAGTTTGAGTTGGAAAGATACTTTTAATTAAAAAGATAGGGTTGCAAATAAAATTACAAAAAGTCAGAAAAAATATTGTATGTTAGTATAACTGCCAGCCTACAGCACACTATTGTTAGCTTTTTTGTAACAATTTAAGGTTTTAATTAAGCCATATGTTTTTTTATTATATATATTCTGTGCTGCACCCATAACCACACCCAACAATGATATCACAGTGTAGTGACATACCCTAGAGTGCACACCTCTACTGCAGTGAAGAGATAAACCACTTGTGTTCAGCAAAAAAGAGATTTTCAGGGTGTGTTTAGTACAACAGTAAAATACTATGTATAAACACTAAATTTTGTACTTGTACTCTGCAGCATTAATTTACTCTTGCCTCTGAAATTTTTACTCATATGACTATGACTTATCATACAGTTGATGCAATTTGAAGAGGGATCAAATTCAGCTTAGGGCTTCATAAATGCCCTAAGCTGAAATAAATTACATTTATTCATTTAGCTGACGCTTTTATCCAAAGTGACTTACAATGGCTATACATGTCAGAGGTAGCACGCCTCTGGGTTAAGTGTCTTGCTCCTACTGGATGTGTCACGGTGGGAATCGAACCCAGGTCTCCCACACCAAAGGCAATATTATTATTATTATGTATGCGCCATCACCACCCCTACAGGTCCCCTGCTGCCTGATGGAAAGTAAAACCAAATACATCTACAATACAGTATACATATACTCTCGCTTCACTTCAGGAAGAGAACTAAAGCAGTTTGGCTCAACTTGTTTTTATATATATATATATATATATATATATATATATATATATATATATAGAGTGGGGAGAACAAGTATTTGATACACTGCTGATTTTGCAGGTTTTCCTACTTACAAAGCATGTAGAGGTCTGTAATTTTTATCATAGGTACACTTCAACTGTGAGAGATGGAATCTAAAACAAAAATCCAGAAAATCACATTGTATGATTTTAAAAAAATTAATTTGCATTTTATTGCATGACATAAGTATTTGGGGCGGCACAGTGGTGCGGTGGTTAGCGCTGTTGCCTCACAGCAAGCCCCGGCCTTTCTGTGTGTTCTTATTGTGTCTGGGTGCTCCAGCTTCCTCCCACCGTCCAAAGACACGCGGTGACCCTAAATTGTACTTAGGTGTGAGTGTGAGCGTGAGTGGTTGTTTGTCTATGACTGGCGACCTGGCCAGGGTGTACCCCGCCATCCGCCGATGTCAGCTGGGATTTGCTCCAGCCCCTCCCCGTGACCCTGTACACAGGATGAGCGGTTGACGATGGATGGACATAAGTATTTGATCACCTACCAACCAGTAAGAATTATTGCTCTCACAGACCTGTTAGTTCTTCTTTAAGAAGCCCTCCTGTTCTCCTCTGATTGTCTGTATTAATTGCACCTGTTTGAACTCGTTACCTGTATAAAAGACACCTGTCCACACACTCAATCAAACAGACTCCAACCTCTCCACAATGGCCAAGACCAGAGAGCTGTGTAAGGACATCAGGGATAAAATTGTAGACCTGCACAAGGCTGGGATGGGCTACAGGACAATAGGCAAGCAGCTTGGTGAGAAGGCAACAACAACGGTCAGTCTCCCTCGGTCTGGGGCTCCATGCAAGATCTCACCTCGTGGGGCATCAGTGATCATGAGGAAGGTGAGGGATCATCCCAGAACTACACGGCAGGACCTGGTCAATGACCTGAAGAGAGCTGGGACCACAGTCTCAAAGAAAACCATTAGTAACACACTACGCCGTCATGGATTAGAATCCTGCAGCACACGCAAGGTCCCCCTGCTCAAGCCAGCGCATGTCCAGCCCCGTCTGAAGTTTGCCAATGAGCATCTGGATGATCCAGAGAAGGAAAGGGAGAAGGTCATGTGGTCTGATGAGACAAATATAGAGGTTTATGGTCTAAACTACACTCGCCGTGTTTGGAGAAAGAAGAAAGATGAGTACAACCTCAAGAACACCATCCCAACTGTGAAGCATGGAGGTGGAAACATCGTTCTTTGGGGATGCTTTTCTGCAAAGGGGACAGGATGACTGCACCGTATTGAGGGGAAGATGAATGGGGCCATGTATTGCGAGATCTTGGCCAACAACCTCCTTCCCTCAGTAAGAGCATTGAAGATGGGTGCAAACCTGGTCAAGAACTACAGGAAACGTTTGATCTCTGTAATTGCAAACAAAGGTTTCTGTACCAAATAATAAGTTCTGCTTTTCTGATGATGTACTTTGTCTAATTAATTAGTTTGCATTTTATTTGCAATAAAATGCAAATTAATTATTTAAAAATCATACAATGTGATTTTCTGGATTTTTGTTTTAGATTCCGTCTCTCACAGTTGAAGTGTACCTATGATACATTACAGACCTCTACATGCTTTGTAAGTAGGAAAACCTGCAAAATCAGCAGTGTATCAAATACTTGTTCTCCCCACTGTATATATAGATATAGATATATGTGTGTGTGTGTGTGTGTGTGTGTGTATATACTTAAATGTAACTACAGCTTGCCACCAATTCTCTTGAAAATGTCATTTTATGTTTTTTTGTTGAGATTGAAATGTGTTGAATTTTCTTCTTAAGTTCCCAGGTCCTCACAGTCATTTCTGTCAGCTCAGAGAGGGGATTGTATTTCCCTGCAAACATCAAAGGCACTTTGTGCATAAAAGTCGTTCCCCTTCCCTTCTCTCAGTAAAACGGCTTGTTTGGGTTTAGGTTTATAAATTGGCTGATTTGCAGACCAATGCCAGAGAAAGGATGCAGTGTTTTAAAAGCCTTTCAAGATGCCTAAACGCTCTGAAAGATTTGATGATGCGTGCTAGATTGATTATTCCGTCTTTTCAGACGTTTTCTATCATTCACTAACATTTTTAATTATTTTTCCCGGTAAAATGTAGACACACGAAGATAGGCTATTTGCTTTGTGCATTGTAGAGAGATGAAGTCAGTTTATTGTTTTTTCGTTGTGGTTTTGTTTGTTCAATCGGTTTGAAATGTCACAGACACTGTTATTACGGTCCACAGACCTCGCGTGTGGTAATTAAACTCACCAGTGATAAGGTTTCCCGCGCGTGTCTGTTTAGTGTTGTGGGTTTCGATTCAGCACTATGGACAGCGCCAGCTTGATCTCCTGAGACCACTGCAGCATTTTCAGCTCAGGTTTCAGTGTACATTAAATAGGCTACAACAAGCAGCACTTAATTCAACAAAATATCAACTCTAATGATCGAATAAATTATTTGATGATCCTTCAACAATGTGGAGGAAACAAGTAGCCTACTTATAAAGGATGAGACTTCAATTCAGATCAGATTCTGTTTCGTTGACCATAATATGCAAGCCGAACTGACTACAACACCCCAGTGTCACAAAGGAGTCATGCAACAGGTGTGCACATTTGACGATAGAAAAGGCGACATTTAACTGGCAGATTTTCGGACGGAGTTTGGAGTGACGACAATCGGTTGCAATCGCGCTCGTAAAACAGCAGTAAAGAGAGACAAAATTTGGAGGTCTCTACCCAAAATAGTGACGCCATCTCAGCGTCGCCACCTCCCCAAATGTTGCCGGTTACGGTTCCTAGCAGTCAGTCCAGATACTGACGGTGTGGGAACCACGTGTTTAACTGCAAACAGCTCCTGTTAGTAGGGCTGCACGGGCAAACCGGAGATAACCTTTTCCTTCAGAACAAAAGTCCAGGCCAAACCAGACTATGCCTGGGCACAGGTCTAGGTTGCTTAAACAAAACAAAACAAAAAAAGCGTTAAATTGTAGGTTTACTACACCACTGTGGATATGGTTCTATTACAGTTTTAATATTAAATTACTCCACATTTCTTTTTTAATATGTCTTTGCTATATTGCTTATTTAACAAAATGCAGTGATAAGAATGTTCTTTTAATAAATCAAAAAAATGGTAACATGTAAGAAGAAAACATACCAAGGCTATAAGAAAATAAAAAGAACATAGTCTATTGTAAGAAAATCCTATTCCGTATGGGGAAAATAGAAGTAGTAGCCTATCCTCCTGCAGGCTGTATGAAAGTGCGCTCAATTAAAAAGATGATGTTTCGGTATTTTATTTTGAAGTCGCCAACCGGAACAGGTGTTTTGTTTCATTGCTCCCACTTCGTTGCTGGTTGGGTATAGATAGTCAGTGCACCTCCTGGCGCCCCACCGGCCGTCGGTCGCCTCGAGCGCTGCTGAAGAAGAAGCTGAAGCACCAGAGGAGCGCGACAAGGACCACGAGCCGGACACGGACTTCTTCTCCTACTTCTTCTCCATCTAGTTTCTGGAGTAGTGGAGGGAACAGAGTCATAGTTCAGCAGCAAGGTGAGGAAGAGGAGGGAGAGGAGAGGAAGAGGAGACAGACAGACAGCGGCACCAGCAGTCTTATGCTTGGCGCATTGGTGCTTATGGATTATTGAGAAGTGGAGGCCGAAACGCGGATCAAATATTCATGAAGACTTTTTAAAGAGAAAAACACTGAGTGGGATAGTGTAGAGACTCCCTGCAGTGATTCACCTGTCCGGTCCAGCGCTGCGTGCGCTCTTACTGACCAGAGACCAGAGAACTAGCGCTGCTGCTGGAAAAGGCTTCTGCATCTAGCGTGTGTGTGAATGTGTGTGTGTGAGAGAGTGTGTGTGTTTGGAAAGGAGCCCCCCTGCTGCAGTACTTGCCTGCTGTATGGGTACGATGCCACCGACTTGCTGACGGACACCCGGTATCCGCACCCCTCCCCTCCTCCCCCCTCCCGGACGGACGGACGCACCGACCCCTGCGAACCCCACTAATATGCAATGGTTTTTTGTGCAGAAGCCGACAGCTGCCGCGTACCGCCGACTTCACGCTAGCGCCGCCGCATGCCTGTCCGCCGCTGCCGCTCCTCTCCCCGCGCCGCGCGGCAGACGACGCCATTTGAAGTGGAGCGCTTGGGGGCTTTTGACGCCGCGGCGGCCGGGTGGCAGCAGCAGCGACCGATCCACCGCCGCTGAGGACCACCGGCCGCTGGGGCAGCCGGAGGCGGAGACCGCGGAGGAAAGCGCCGCAGCGGTTTCTCTTTTCCTGCCGCACGGGGACGACGTCGACGCGGAATACGTGCGGTTTCTGGTCTCTGGGCTTGTGGAGGAACCGGGCGAGAAACCGGGCGACGAGCCGGGCTTCCTGCTCTTATTCTTGTCTATGGTGCAGATTGGGGGGGCGAAGCACCGCCGAACTGAGCCCAACAGCTGGCAGGCTCTGCTGGCATGCAAACAGGGGGGCGGATCAGCCCCCATGCGGTGGGTGAATTTTAGGCTGCCGCATCCGGAGCGCCTCTCGTCCCCCACCTCCTCTTCCTCCTCCTCCCCCGTCTCGGCCAAATCCATGCGGTTTATTTGGAACAACATTTTCAGCAAAGGATCGCATATGCTGCAGTGTCTTTGTGGCAGGAGCCTCAAGAAAAACAAGAACCCAACTGGTGAGTTTGTTGTGCATCTTTCATTCTGTGTGTGTGTGTGTGTGTGTGTGTGTGTGTGTGTGTGTGTGTGTGTGTGTTTGTGTAGGTACATGCGTGTGTGGGGGGTGATGGGGAAATACTTTATTGAATGTCTGTGCGTGCGCGTAGGAGTGTGTGTGTGTGCATTTTCCCTCCCGATACTGCACTGTTCGACTGCTTACTGGTGCTTCTCTGCAATCGCAGTTGTGCAGCAAGTGAGTGCACTACAGGGAGGGGAGGGCGAATGATGTGGGGTGGGGGGGGATAACTTATTAGCACAGAAACTGACTACAGTGACAGCGCCTGCGAAAAAAACTGCGTGAGCGCTGTGCATGGCAGAGATGCTGCAGAAAATCAAGTCTAATGCAGCATGCAGACCTGTTCAGGCTCCAGTAACCTGCATGATTAAACAGCACATGAACTTACTTAGACTTCCACTGTGGATATTCAGTGCATACTCTGGGAGAGTCTGTGTGTTTATCTTATCACTGCGGACATTTCAGTCAGACTGTGTGAACACAAACATCTGTACTCATGAGATTGAAGACTAAATGCGATGCTGTGCTCAACAGAGCTCAGAGCTTCTTGAAGGACCGACTTTAAGGGGTCCTACATTGTTGATAGCAACTTTTCCATTTAGGTGAGCTGTTAATTATGTCCAGCATCATGCTTGGTACGCTCACAGCCAACACATCTCATAAAGTTGGATTTGTGTACATAGATTCAAAGATAAAGAATGGAAGACCCGTCTATCACATGGCCCTGACTGAGCTCATCAACAGGATGCAGGGAGGATATATAGTGAAATTCAGTTTAATTCACCTCCAGGTCTCTTGATTCTCGCTTGAGTTACGCTCTCCATAGAGTACAGGGCATATTTAGATTTGCTAAAAGCTCTGGCCAAATCCAATAGTTTGCTTTGTTTTCCACCAGATTTTTCCTCCGCTCTGGGTGAGGACAGGGCATGGATTGATACTGGCATTGCAACAGGAAGTGAACATTGTTGACATTATTGGCGTATTGACATTGCATCAGAGAGCTGGCCTCTGTATCTTCAACACAGTGTTTGGAGCGAAACAGCAGGCCCCGTGAGGCAGCGATCCTGAGATATTATTTTTTTATGAACAAAGATTGGCCAAACTAACCATCAATACCTTTCGTTATCTCTAAGCTGGGAATTATACAAGGCTATCTGAGTGTGATTGTTATTGTATTTTACAGGAAGCCTCACATTCACAAAAACAGTTATATTTAAATTAACAAAAAGTATTTTTTGTAGTATGTATTTGTATGCCTGTAACAATGATTTCTTTAAGTGAGGTCGAATCTTATTTCCTACAAGGTAGATATTATTTATTGTACTGCACAGGGTTGTATAATGAGATGAAGTCTGTAGTTCCCTTTATGCTACTAATGAGCAAACATTATATACAAAAATTATAAACTTATATACAGAAATTAATGTATTTTACATCCTGGAGTGCTGAAGATGACTTAAGGGCTGCTCTGGAGTCCGCTGCTGCCACTGTAATTTTAAAACTTTAAAACTTTCTCATTGCTGTTTTTACATTTCGACTTAATGATCAATAAGCCAAGTAAAAAAGTACCTCATAGACTAGACCGATAATGACAGTATAGCTATAACCATGCTTGCAGCCCTAATTTGAAGTCAGCTGTGCAGTGTACAGCATACACTGATCAATTCCTGACTGTAATCTCAACCAAAATGATCTATACTAATTAACTCTAACCTTAAACAGCTGACGCGTGGAATTTGTAGTTATGGATATGTAAAAAAAAACACACACACAGCGCCAGTACGTTTTGTAGTGTTTGACATGATACTTTTAGCTTTTTTGTTGTTGTATGAACCGGAAGGAGAACAGACTGGTCAGTGGTCAGTCTGCAGCTGGTTGTGATTCTGTGTGTTGCTTATGACCACCTCATCAGGCCTTGATTGAAAGAACATTACATCTTGACCAAATGGCCAGTAGAAAGAGGCCCATTTACAAGTAAGTTGTGCTGTTACTGTACTGTTTTTCGTCTCTGCTCTTTTTTTGAACTTTGACCCAACCAAGCTAGAATTTGATTTGATTCAAACAGCCGTAACGTGGAAAAGCACGGTGTCTCTGTGACGTTAGCCCAAGGTTTCCGAAGCAACACTGCTTTTGTAAAGAATGTTTAGAGCCAAAAAGAAACATATTTGGGGAAAGGGTTGGAGGCCTGAGTGGTGCTGAGCAGGAACCATCGAGTGACAACAACCAATCACCTGCCAATCACACAAACACACCCAAAGGTGTGTGTATGGTAACCTTTGTTAAAGTTAATGTTCTTTCAACCCCTCCCACACTGCACTCTACGATGCATTAACAAGCTTATTTACACTGTCTTCACCAGCATAATAGAAGTGTTTCATTCCGTGGGCACTTGAACGTATCCCTAAGTCCTTTGCTGCATTACTCTATACATTAACATCACTATGCGGTGGCACATAAAGTAAATGTTTTACTAACCACGGACAAGTGAACGCATTCAGCATTGAAAGGGAAAAAAAAACACTGAGTGGATACTCTCATGGTGCGATGAGGTCAAAGACATTAATGCTGTGTCTTCTCTTTGTCTGAATGCTGAAGAGCCAGTTGTTTGAGTGATTACAAAGCAATGTCCCTCGGGTTGGAGCTGATGTGCAGAAAAGACAAATGCATAAGCATGGTGTATGTCAGTTTTACAACTCTGTACTCATGGTGATAAGAGCCAAATTGCACCCACACTTGCAGGAGACTGTAGTTCATGGCAGATAAATAAAAAAGACTACCAGCCTCATAGAAACAGATGCATAGGAGGTGTAGTGTAAGTTGTAAATATCTCAGCACTTCAAAGTATTAGGTCTAATCTGTGATATTTTCTTATAAGTGTCAGTTTTTGTTGACTGATATAACCATGAGTCAACATGTAAGCAGTTTAGAAAGGCTCGTAGGTCTTTCCTGATAAATAGATTTGTACTTTATCAGCAAACATCAAGAAAAAAGGCATGTATGGCTGCCGTGTGTGATAGACAAGTAATCTCTGGGAAAACACCGGCGCAGTAAGTCTATAGCACCGCAGATAAACCACTAATCTTGCAGAATAAAGGTGAAACAAACAAAACCAAATCAATATTGATGCATTGGTACAGGTGAAAGGACTAATCTGCCACACAGAACTCAACTGTTGTTCTTACTGCAACATTTTCACAGCGTCTTTTCACTGCCTGCCAACACACAGCTGCCTGCAAAAAGTGTGACATGACTGGTTGTGGGTTTTTTATGTCCTCTGGGCTCAGTGTTTCTGCTTTAATTCCTTTTTATATTGTGCTTCTCTTTGCTCATTTGATGAATTGGCTTGAAGGTGGACTTGCTGGATTTGAGGGAATGTGTGCACTCCTGATGCAGAAGCTGGTATGTTAGTAACACTGAGCATAACCTCCTAGCTCATAGTTAGCCTGCAGTTTCAAACGCCCTCTTTGGGCGTGGGATGTCATTGAATGTAAAGACTTCAGTATACTGATGCCTGCTGTTTAATGTCCTTTTGAAGTAAAACTAAATTATCTATAGTCCATCGTCAGCTGCTTATCCTGCATACAGGGTCGTGGGGGGGCTGGAGCCAATCCCAGTTTACATCGGGCGAAATGCGGGGTACACCCTGGACAGGTCGCCAGTCCATCGCAGGGCAGATTATCTATAATGTTACTGCAAATTATCATTGAACATACTACACATTTATACATGTAGTAAGGTATTTCTGTAATGTGGGTCCCAGTGTACTGAGTGCTGAAACAATTTGTCACTTGAGTTTGAAAGTTCATTCTTGATCTAGGAAACTGCACAATACAATAATCTTAACTCAATATATATAGATAGATATATTATATATAACTGAGGCAACATCTGTTGATGAGGAGCAAGAGATGTGGTTGACAGCCCCGAAAAAGCTAGTAAGTGGACCTTTAGTTAATGTTTTTCTGTGAAATTAGTTGATGGATACATTTGTTGAACCAATGGAAGTTATTTTGTGACAGTTTTGGTATTCCATTGAATGGTTAAGTTATTATTCATCACTGTACATTTATTTGACATGGCCATTGAAGTCATTATGACATGGTGTGACTGACTGAGACTTCCCCAGTCTTGTTTTTTTATGTAAGGCCAACCGCACTGATGTTGTGTAAATACTGTAGATCAAAAGCTAATTGCAAACAGGAGTTCATAAACTTGCTTTCTGCATATATTGGTGATTAGCCACTATACACAGCATCCCGCTGCTGGGCTCAAAGATTTATAGCAGCCAGCACCATTTAGCTGTCACTTTCTCTTTTAATTAAAGAAAATGCATGAACTCCTTCCCTTGGCGTTTTAGTGTGTGTATGTGTTTATGCATAGTACACACAGCAATTGCTTGTGAAATATGGACCTGCTGAAGATGGGGAGGAGACAGAGTTTTGCTGACTCAGCATTTGTAGGCATTTTTCTTCTGAATTGCACCATTTAATGAAGGTCAGGAAATACAGCTTTGTTTAGTGTGTGTGTGTGTGTGTGTGTGTGTGTGTGTGCACTTGCATATACATTAGTGAAAGTTCCTTAATAAATTGAATGTTCTTCATATTCCTTGTCAAAGGGGAATTTTGGCCTGGGGGAAAATCAGAGGTGACCAAAATCTTGACAAATCATCAGTATTCAAATGAAACTTCATGGCTCAGTAGTTTTAAATAATTTCAGATTGGAAATTTTGGATGCTATTCTCATGATATTCAGAGTTACAATCTCCAACATTTTATCTCCTGCTTGATTTGAGGACACCTGTGGTTGACAGTGTTACATAATAATACAGGTTTATCAACCGCTGAGGCCAGCAAATATGCCTTGTCAGAAACCCAACAGAAACTGGTGTGTTAGTCACAGCGCAGCACAACAAATTGGGGGCTGAGAGGAATTATCATGTCATGT